AAAAATAAACTCAAAATGGATAAAGGACTTAAACATAAGATGGGAAACCATAAAAATCTTAGAGGAATCCACAGGCAGCAAAATATCAGACACATGCCGAAACAATATCTTCACCAATGCAGCTTCTACGACAATGGAAACTAAAGAGAAAATGAAAAAATGGGACTACATCAAAATAAAAAGCTTCTGCACAGCAAAAGAAACTATCAACAAAACAACAAGAAAGCCCACTGAATGGGAGAACATATTTGCCAATGTTATCTCCAGTAAGGGTTTACTCTCCAACATTTACAGGGAACTCATACAACTCAACAAAAGGAAGATAAACAACCCAATCAAAAAATGGGCAACAGACCTAAATACATACTTTTTGAAAGAGGACATAAGGAAGGCCAAGAGACATATGAAAACATGCTCAAAGTTACTAATCATCCGAGAGATGCAAATCAAAACGACAATGAGGTACCATCTCACACCTGTCAGAATGGCTATCATCAACAAATCAACAAACAACAAGTGCTGGAGAGGATGTGGAGAAAAAGGAATCCTTCTGCACTGCTGGTGAGAATGCAGACTGGTGCAGTCACTGTGGAGAACAGTATGGAGTTTCCTCAAAAAACTAAAAATGGATCTCCCATTTGACCCAGTGATCCCACTTCTAGGAATATATCCCAAGAAACTAGAAACACCAATCAAAAAGGATATATGCACCCCTGTGTTCATAACAGCATAATTCACCATAGCTAAGATTTGGAAATAGCCTAAGTGCCCATCAGCAGATGAGTGGATTAAAAAACTGTGATACATCTGCACATGGAATACTACACTGCGGTAAAAAAGAAGGCATTCTTACCATTTGCAACAGCATGGATGGAACTGGAGAGCATTATGCTAAGTGAAATAAGCCAGTCAGAGAAAGATAAATATCACATGATCTCACTCATTTGTGGAATATAATAAACAACATAAACTGATGAACAAAAACAGAGACAGAGAAGCATCGATCAGACTGTCAAACCTCAGAGGGAAGGTAGGGGAGGGTGGGGGTAAGGGGGAGAGATCAACCAAAGGACTTGTATGCATGAATATAAGCCTAACCAATGGACACAGACACCAGGGGGCGGGGGGGGGGGCAATGGGGGAATAAGAACACATATGTAATACCTTAATCAATAAAGAAAAAAAGACAATGCTGCCCATGCAATTGAATATTCTAAATAGAATCTACTATATAAAAATCAATGTCTCAAAATAAGTAAAAGATATATTCTCTCAAAATATTCAACCATAGTTTTTTAATATGCAAATTCTTTAGCACATTTAAATAAAGTTTTATTGTTTAAATTTTTTATTTTCCAGGTGTTTTCAGAAACTTGCCTGTTGAATACAATCAAAGTTTGCTCAGAGGGCTAGATTATCATCCTTGGCTCCCCTGAGAGTCTTTAGGCTCCACTTTGAGAGTCACTATGATGTTCAGGTAAAAATTAAAATATGTAAAAGGAAGCACTTTGAAAATTCTAAAGCACTCGCTAATGCTAGATATTATAAATATTAAATATAAAATCTTCAGCATGATGCCTATTTGCTTCAAAATAATGGGGAGGGAAAGGACAATAAATTAAGCAACACTTATAAGTAGATAATATTTGTAATTGAATGGTTCATATATAGGAGTACATTACACCATTTCCCTCTTTTCAATATGTTTGAAATTCTGTGTAATAAAAAGTTTAAAAGCAAACTTTTGCAAATCTGAACCATAATCCTTCTTCATATTGTAGGTGAGAAAAAACAGTCCAGAGAAGTTAAGTGACCTTCTTGAAATTACACAGGTAGTTACAGAGCCAGAAGCCAAAATTCTGAACTCCCAGTCTGGGTTCCTTCTATGGTTCCGCATATGGGTCCTCAGGCAGAAATGGATTCCTCTAGCCACTTTCCCGAATATCCCTGAGTTCTTAAGTCTCTCAGGTGTATCCAGCAGCATGCTCAGAAGAAGGAGGGTGCTGGACAGATCTGGAGCTAGAAACACCAAAACTGGGGCCAGAGCCAGAAGGCTCTGGGCACTTTCCAAATTGAGCAGAAGCCAGGTGAAGTGGGGAAGTTCTCCCCTTGGCCTGCTTTGTCACTGACACCTGAATCAAGAGTGCCAAAGAACCTGATCTTGGTCTCAGGAACATGTTTATTCTGTCCTCCTCCCCAACCCAACTTTTCCAACCCACCTCGCTACTGCTAAAATACCACAACTCTGGACCAGGAGATTCTGGGTTCCCAGGCAGTCATAGAAGTGGATTGGAGGTGGCTATTACCCACCCCAATTGTGGGGGTGAAGGGAGAGATTCTAGAGGGTGGAACTAGAAATGTGGAGAGGTCTCCTCCCCAGCAAGTAAGATCCAAGACTATGAAAGGAGACAGATGCAGTGTGGAGGACCAGGCCTTTGCTAAGCCCCCTAAGCCAGGTAGGAAACAAAACAAGAAGTCTGAGGTCCCCTGGCCAGAGGGAGAGAGCTATCTGTGTGCCAAAGTCCTTCTGACTGACTGCTAGAAAAACTGGGGAGTTGGCGTGGGTTCCAAGTGCTGGGAAGCTGAGCAAGCTCAAATTGTAAGTGGCCCAAACCCAAGCCAGATCGTGGGGACAGGAAAGGAGAACTACCCCAAGCTTGAAGTGACCGTGATGCCCTAAGTCCCCTGCCACATTCTGGGACAATGATACTCGTGGTTGGTTGGGGATGGTGAGCTCACTGCGCCCACTCCCCCAACCATGGGCCCACCCATCTGGAATCTTGGACTGCCCCTTCCCCCCTCATTCTGGTCCCTGAGCTGACTATCTGGGGCTCCCTCAGAATTTTCTCTGCCCTGTACTGGGCTCCCTATGTACTCCCCCACTTCTCTCATGTGCACAAAGCTCCATTGGTCCCACCACCCTGAATTAACACCCCCATGAGACTTCGAGCTCTACTGATCCAAAGTGATGGATCCGATAGCCCCCACATAGATGTGGCCCTAGGCTGGGTGCCTGCCCCTCCCCAGCCCCTGCGCTGCAGACTCACCATCTCGGCTGCGCACTTCTGCTCGCCTCCCAGCTGGCCTGCTCACCCCAACTGCTCCAGATACAGCCGTGTCCGCTGTTGTGACACACTGGGCGGGAGGGGGCTGGGGACAGGCTTGCTCATCCAGCAGCTGCTCTTCAGCATCACAGTGCCCAGGGAGGGGAGGAACCCAGGCAGGTCACAGTGGCTCCTCCCCCCACACACACACGTACCCTCCCCCTCCCTTCCCCTCCCCTCCCCTCCCGCGAGGCCCCACCCAGTCTCTCCATCCAGCTTGTGCCCGCTGGGCGCTGGGCGCTCTGGAAACTGCGCTGTTGAATTCCGTGCCGCTGAGCAAGGGAGCAGTCCTATTACTAAAGAGCACTCCTCCATAATGGGATATAGGCCATTAGTATTCAAGCTTCTTAGGAAAGAAATGTGAAAATTCACTTCCCAAACTTTCATTCTCTTCCTGTTGCCACCAGGAAGGGCTGGCCCAGGCAGGAAAGGCACCTAGTTGGGGTTTAGTTGAGGGCTTTCGCCCTCAAACCAGGCAAGTAGAGAAATGATGGGGATGATTCAGTGCTCACTAGTGAGAAGCAGGCTCCATGCTCAGCTCTGCTGCTGCTGCTGCTGCTGCTTAGGAGAGCTTGAGCAAGTTGCTGCACCTCTACTCTGGAAACCTATTTCTACCCACATCAAGGTCTACCTGGTCACTGGAGAATTAAATGAGATAACATACTTTATAAAGCAGGTACTTAATACTTTAGTTGTTCCTGTTTCTGCCATTCTATCAGGGTACATCACCCCTCCACCACCACCATTATTTTCAAATCTGTTTCTTAATCCATTTATCATCACTCCCTCTTCCTACTTTTACACCCAGAAAGTATAGAATGATACCAGTGTTCCGGCTGCCTCTTTGCCTAGTAAAAAGGACTGTCTCTCCTGGTCACAAACGACACTAAATAGCAAGGGATTTCCCCTACCCTCCCTCTCGTTGAGAGGGGTGGGAGAACAAGGTCTGGCCTGGGTAAGAGCCCCTATGTTCACACTAGTAATTTTGACCACTGTATTAAACCTCTCTCTACTTTCCCTCTCCTTCCCGCAGTTTAGTCGTGGGCTGAATGATTATCAGTCCTCGGTCTCACTGCAAAATTGCCCGCCAATGTGTGCTGATATGTGTGACCCAGCTCCTATCTTCTCTCCCAACTTTATCAGGCACCTGACCACCAACCACCAAGTCACTCCAAGCAAATCTGTGGCTTTTCTGCAAGATACTACTACATAGAGCTTCTCTAACCAAACATGGTTACTCTCCAAGTTTCCAAGCACAGATACAGATTTATTTGCCCTGCCATTCCTAAGATAATTCTCTGGCCAGTACAGAATGAGGTTTCTTCCTTTCTTTCTTTCTTCCTTCCTTCCTTCCTCCCTCCCTCCCTCCCTCCCTTCCTTCCTTCCTTCCTTCCTTCCTTCCTTCCTTTCTTCCTTTCTTTCTTTCTTTCTTTCCTTTCCTTCTTCCTTTCTTTCTTTCTTCCTTTCTCTTTCTTTCTGTTGCAATTTGTTCTACTGGCCATCCATTAGTATATTTTCTTATTTATACTATGAGTTTCTAGAAGATGGGACACATCTTAATCATCTTTGCATCTGAGATTGTACCATTCATAATGCTTTACCCATTGATGCATACAGTACTTAGTATATGATGAGTTGAATTTTTGTCTATCATAATTTAAGATCCTGAAAACTGAGAACCATGACTAAGCTAACTGCCAAGCACATGATAAATGCTCAATAAAGGATAATGACTATTAACTATTTATCACTCTTCCAAAACCCCATAGCATATTCTATTACTTCTTCCATTACATTGATCACTTCCTATTTTATATTCTAGAGATGTGTGAGTGCATATGTGTTAAAACACTCCTATAGAATTGGAACACCTTGAAGGCAGGGTTGTCACATTCAGCTTTGTGCTCTCCTCGTCAAAATAACTAGTCAAGTGCAAAGATGCTTAATAAACAATGCTGAATAAATTGATTTTTCGAGTTCTCTGTGAACCAGCAAATATGTTATGAACAGTTCTTAATGTCTCAGGATAAAAGTGTAATGATAATACTAGCGATTAGGGTGGTATTCATTGCCTTTCATTATAATGAGGCCCTTTAAACCTCACCATTTTTCCCTTTATGAGGTTTAGGGCTGGAGGAAGCCATGACTATACAATAAATACTAGATATAGCATCTTCTGTTCCAGGGAGATAAAAAGAAGGGTAGCTGCTATAGACTGAATTGTGTCCTCTTCCCAAATCCATATGTTAAAGCCCTAACCTCCAAGGTATTTGGAGACAGGGCCTTTAGGAAGGTAATTAAGGTTAAATGAAGTCATAAGAATGGGGCCCTAATTCAGACTGATGTCCCCTTAAGAGGGAAGAGACACCAGGAGTACATATGTACAGAAGAAGGCCATGTGAGGATACATAGAGAAGGTGGCCATCTACAAGACAGGAAGAGAGGCCTCACCAGAAACTGACCCTGCTGGACTTTAACCTTAGTCTTCCAGCCTTCAGAACTGTGAAAAAAATTAATTCTGTTCATTAAGCCACCCAGTATATGGTATTTTGTTATAGCAGCTGGAATAGACTAACAGGCCTTAGAGTCTTTGGAATTTAAAAACTGTTCACTTCTTTTTGGTTTTTAAGTCCTCTGTCTTATAATTATTTGACTGTGGCAACCCCAATCTCATTAATAACTTTCCCTATCACCCTCCATCCTATGCCTTTCTCCCTGAGTAGAAGTTTTGAAAAAAGGAAGAACATACTTTTTTTGGTCCCTATGATGGTTAATTTTATGTGTCAACTTTAATGAGCCATAGGATGCCCAGACATTTGGTCAAACATTATTCTGGGTGTGTCTGTGAGGGTGTTTCTGGATGAGATTAATATTTGAATCAATAAACTGAATAAAGCAGATTGTCCTCCCTAGTGTGTGTGGGCTTTATCCAATTAACTGAAGATCTGAGTAGAACAAAAAGGCTGAGTAAGAGAAAAGGGCTGTCTGCTTGACTGTTGAGCTGGGACATAAGTCTTCTCCTGCCCGTGGACTAGAACTTACACCATCCACTCTCCTGGGTTTCCAGCTTGCTGACTACAGATTTTAGGACTTTTCAGCCTCCATAATCATGTGAGCCAATTCCTTATAATAAATAGTTATTTGTTATAGTTATAATAAATATTTATATAAAGTAAAATACTATATAGATATAGATATAGATATAGATATAGATATAGATATAGATATAGATATAGATATAGATATAGATATAGATATAGATATAGATATAGATATAGATATAGATATAGATATAGATATAGATATAGATATAGATTACCAAAAGATTTACATGGGATGGAGTGGCATCATAGGAAAGATAAGACAGCAGTCTGGTCATTACCTTTTCTCCAGGCTTTGGTATTGTCACCAGACCTGTTCCATGCTGGGGGCTGGCCCTGCACCAGCAGAGTCCGGTATCTCCATGCTCTTGACTTTCTCAGGAAAGAATTCAAGAACATGTCTGAGTGAGAGTTCAAGTGAGAGTAAAAGCAAATCTTATTCAGAGAGAGACATAGAAGCTAGGATGCACTGCTGTGAGAGAAGCAAAAGTACACATCTAAGTGGACACAGGTGAACTCACCAGTGAGTTGCACACATGAACAGTCAGTTCTTGGGATTTTCTATTTCCAAGGGTGGATTTTTTCTGAACTTTGTGGCACAAAATTCTGATTCTGCCTTCTGGTTGGGAGGTGTAGGTCTTGTTCCTAATATGGTTCGTTTGGGAAATGTCATAGCATTGGTCCCTTCGCCCCCTTCTATTTATGGTATCAGTTTTAATTACAATGATGGTATAATGAGCTTTGGGATCAGTCTCTGGTCAATTTTTCCTCCATTGTGGGTGGAACTGATTTTAGCCAGTCCTTATTATTGTTGACTTCTGTGATCCCACATGAGTTTCTTGCCATAAACTGTTTTCCTTTTAATCATAAGTGGATGTGGGGGCTCTGATGAGAGTACCTATTGGTTTATTGGTCTGTGATGTCTGATCCTACTACCTCATTCCACTTGTTGGGAATTTTCCCTAACCTGCCTCAGTATTCTGTATATAGCTAATTTCTCAGTTGTATATTTCCCTCCTGTCAGACACTGAAACAATATATATATTCTATTTCTCTGGAGAGCCCAGACTAATACAGTCCCCTTTTGGCAGGTGAAGAAACTGAAGTCAAATTCAGGCTATTTAGGGGAAAGCAATCTCCCATACAGTATGATTTAGGCCTTGTAAAGAAATTACTTCACCTTTACCACATTCCAGTTTACTATTGATCAGAAGCCAGTGCTGAAGCCCTTACCCTCATTGCATCTAAGGCTCTGTTACAGATCAGGTAACCACCTTCTTCGCTGCCAGTCCCTGAAAATGCACCAAAAGATCTGTGTGGGATAAAATGGCATCATAAGAAAGATAAGGCAGCCGGGTCATTATCTTGGTTCTCTCTGAGACCTTGGTGTTCTACATATAATTCTTCACTTGTTATATGTTTCCCTCCTGTCAGACACTGAAACAATTCACTGAATTCATTCATATTCACTCTCTCTTTCTTTCAGTTATTTCACTTATTGCAAAGCATTCCAATCTTTCTGGATCACATCCATGCAGGATATTAAAAGAGTTAGAAAACTATTCTCACCATTGATGAAAATAGCCCACAAGGAAAATACTAGTACTGTTTCATAGCATTTTCACATACAATCTGTTTAGAGCTGTTATTCATATTAGCAAAAAGTTGAAAAGAACTGAATTGGCCAACATATTTAATAGGAAGGAATACTACATAGCTACTAATATGTAGTAGTGAGTTGAATTGCTGCCCCCAAAAGATACAGCCACTTGAGGCAGGTTAGTAAGAAGCTAGGAAATTTCCTTGGCAAGTGGAATGGGGAAACTGAGACAGCCAAACAGACAATTGAGCAATATACAGCCAGATAATATATCACAAGGTCTTATCCTCCCTAACCAAGAACACTTAGGAGCAAATGGTTTATACATTCCAGACCATGCCAGTACAGACCTGCCTCTGTCCAGTCCTTCT